TGATGAGAGTGGCTCAGACCCATACCTTGCTTTACTCAGCTACAGAGCCTCACCTCTGGAGTGTGGACTGTCACCTGCTGAACTTCTGATGAATCGTAAGTTATGCACCACACTGCCAAGCTATTCAAAGCAAAAGAGACACCCAAAGCTGCAACACCAACTACAACAACAAAAGATGAAGCAGAGAACATGCTATGACAAAACAGCTAAGCAGCTTCCATTACTATCAAGTAATGACACAGTCAGGATTGAGGGTCCTGATGGATGGAGAACAAAAGCCACTGTTTTTCAGGAAGTAGCACCGCGATCCTTCACTGTGAGGAGAGAGGAAGGGCAAATCTTCAGACGCAATCGTTGCAGTCTTATGAAAACAAAAGAGGCTGGTCAACAGCTCAGTGAATCCATCATTGAGTCTGAGTCCACACCTTCACCACAGACAGACTGTGATACTAACACTCCAAGTGAACATGTGGTCAGAAGATCTATAAGGGAAATCAGAAAACCTGATAGACTGAATCTGTAATTGAGAGACTTTAATGGATGTTAAAATGGTGTAAATGTTTAGACAATTTCCAAGTTTGTGCTAGTTAGCATCCTGAGTAAATTTAGACCAGATGTTTATTTGTTATGGCATGGTAGAGAAATCAAAATGTTTGGTTAAAATTGATGTTGCACTATTTGTTTATATTACCTCAAAGAAAGGGGGATGTGTTGATTAGATAGATACACACTCCTACCACAAGGTGTCGCCACATAGTTGTGATCTATGTTTAAATCCACATGTAAGGTAAAAGACCTGGGGCCTCATTCATAAACGGTGCGTAAGCTCAAAAGATGGCGTACGCCAGTTTCTACGCAATGTTTGCGATTTATAAAATTCTAACTTGACGGGAAAATGTGCGGTCCTCCATGCAAACTCTAACCCATGCGTACGCACTAAGCACACAAACAGGAGAGACGAGAAACTGCGACACCGTTGGCAGAAGGAAGAATGGAGAGAAATATGTGGAAATAATACCATAAATAAAATGTTACCTCTCATTTATCATATATGAAGAATTCATTTTCAAACATTGATTAAAGCCAATCTTAAAATGATTAAAGAAACCCCTGTTTGCGACTCCTCAGTGCACACAAAAACATAACTTGGAGAAATAAATAAATACGGATATTGTAGTGCCGAGAGATAGGAGTCGGAGGCGGTGCATCGAAGGTGCAAATGGGTACTTTAATGAGCGACAGAAATAGACATGCTGTCGGGTCGCAGCCCAGGAAGAAAAGAGAAAGCGAAAGGGAGGGCACGCAGTAAGTACCAACCAAGTATGTCCGTGTGGAAACAGTACCCCCAACCTGTAGTTCCATGATTGGATTATGTAACCCCAGTGTATGAATCAGTGATCACTACACAAGCCCCCCCAGAATTCAAACATGGCACAATCCTCGCGTCCGGGAGGAAGCACCACAGGGGCCGAGGAGGGCGGGGCCGCAGGCGAGGGCCGGGCCACGGAACGGGCCACGGAACGGGCCGTCGGAAGGGGGCCGCAGGAGAGGGTAGGGGCCCCAACGAGGGCGAGGGCATCCCCACCGGGGGGTGGGGGGCGGGCCGGAACGGGCCGTTGTCAGGGGGCCGCAGAAAGCAGGGTCGCTGCGTTGCGACGCGGGGACGGGCGTGAACATCCCGGTGGTCCCCAGCAGGGAGGAGCGCCGCCCGGCCGCAGGCGAAGGCACAGCGGCGACGGGTACGAAGTCCTCGGGAGGAAGGAGCCGTGTCCCCGGGAGGAGGGAGCCGTGGACAGGGGAGAGGCCAGACGGGGCGCCGTCCGAAGCCGCCGTCGAGGCGAACCGTGAGCCGCAGTTAGAGGTGAGGCCAGGCAGGGTCCAGCAGCGCGCCACCCACGGGCCGATGAAGGCATGGGCGACTTCCGAAACCGCCGAGGCGAGGGAAGAGGCCAGACAGGGTCCCGAAGCGCACCACCCACGGGCCGATGAAGGCATGGGCGACGTCCGAAACCGTAGAGTCGAGGCGAGACGGGGTCCAGAAGCGCGCCACCCACAGGCTGAAGAAGGCATGGGCGACGTCCGAAGCCACCGTCGAGGTGGTGAAAAAGCGAGAGGGTCCACACGAGGCCGACCAGACATGGTCGAACCTCCTCTCAGGCACCAGAAAAAACTCAAAAGGGTCGTCCTGTCCACGATCAAAAACAGGTGGGCGAAATTCTGAGAGGATCCACACGAGGCCGACCAGACTTGATCGAACCTCCTCTCCGGCACCACAAAAAAAAAAAAGGGGCTAACAGTCGGATGTCGATAGCCAATGGATGTCGTTAGCCGCCAGCTGCTAGTCGTTAGCTGTTGGTAGCTGCTAGCCGTTAGCAGTCGTGGCTAGCTGTCGTTAGCAGTCGTGGCTAGCCGTTCCCGACGGCCGTTAGTCGCTGTCGTTGTCGTCGGCCCCGGAGCCTCTGCTAGGCGGCGTGCCCCCACCAGGGAAGGTGCTGCAGAGTGTAGTGGCAAGCACCTCAGGGGTAAATCGCGGGGCGGCCAGGAAGAACCGGCTAGCTCAACACTAGCCGTGTTAGCTAGCGCAGCCTGGAAATGCAGCCGCATGTCCCGAAGAAACAGCTCCACGAGGTAGAAGTCGGGTTCCTCCATACCTAGCAGGTCGCGGGAATGGCGAGCGACGTCCTCAGCCATTCCGTGGGGCGCACCGAGCCTCAGTCCGTGTGCACGTGGCAGCCACGGACGTCTCCAAGAATCTCCAGCATTTCGAGAAAAGCTGCGCTTTTTGCCGTGTTCGGTTCAGTCTCGGATACTTCGCGAGACTTATGTCGGGGTCACCAATGTAGTGCCGAGAAATAGGAGTCGGAGGCGGTGCATCGAAGGTGCAAATGGGTACTTTAATGAGCGACAGAAATAGACATGCTGTCGGGTCGCAGCCCAGGAAGAAAAGAGAAAGCGAAAGGGAGGGCACGCAGTAAGTACCAACCAAGTATGTCCGTGTGGAAACAGTACCCCCAACCTGTAGTTCCATGATTGGATTATGTAACCCCAGTGTATGAATCAGTGATCACTACAATATGTTATTTAAAACCACCTCGAATATGTTGTGTTAATCTTATGAAATTATTTCTCATAAATGATGCGGTAAGCAGAGGACAGAATTACGTCTAAACTGACGCCGTTAATCGTGTTTTATGCCGTTTGCCAAGACTTGATAAGTTGCTCGTAAAACACAGGAGGTATGGAAACTAAGAACACCATATATTTGGATAATTAGACAGCTGATTTAACACAACACATTTGTTTTATTTCATTTAAGTGGTGGGTAGTTGTTGCGGTGGCGTTGAGACGCTGCGCACAGCTGATTGGCAGCTGGAACACAAACCACGTTTGTAAACAAAGCCCCAACTGTTTGTACATACATGTGCAAACCCAGCTTAATTGCACTCGGTTTACTATAATTTCTAAAAAGGGAAGAACATTACGTTACATCTGAGGTAGGCTGTCCTGTGCGTCTGGTGACGGGCACACCTCGGTGTGCAACTATATACGTTTCAGTGATTAAAAAAGCTTGCATGGTCTAAAATCAATTATCGATCAAAACTTTTAACAGTAGTAGGCTACAACAAGGGTTAACACAGATTCAGCTTTAGGTGCCTTACATACCATATAGAGTAAAAAGGAAGCCATATAGCTAGTATTGATATTCATTATGATGACGAATCTTCGTCTTATTATGGCTAGCAAATGGACCAGTCAATAAAAGCAGGGTAATTTCACCACCTGTACCTTATCAGATACAATCAGGTGGCCGGGTGTGTATAAAAATGCGTGCCATCACAATGCGTAATGACGCACAATGGCTGATTTGGCACTGCTAGAGGACTTGGCGAATGGAAGAGTGCGGAGGGAGCGAAATTTCAGAGACCAGCAAGATTTGCTGGCCAATGATGATGAGTGGCTCATGAGTCGGTTCCGACTTCCAAGAGCCGTTTTGTTGGAGCTTTGTGCTGTGTTGGGCCCGGCTTTGCAGAGAAGCACATTAAGAAACCGAGCTGTGCCGGTTCTAATCCAAGTGCTTACAACACTTGGATTTCTGGCAACCGGCACGTTTCAGAGGGAAATGGCTGACAGGTCGGGGATATCCCAGCCAACCCTCAGCCGTGTTATGCCAGATGTGTTGGGAGGTATAATTGCGTTGTCACATTTGTACATTAAGTTTCCTTACACGGTGGGTGAGCAGGCAAATAATAAAATGCAATTTGCAGCAATGTCCGGTTTCCCAAATGTAATCGGTGCCATTGCCTGCACTCACATTGCTTTAAGGGCACCTTGTGTGAATGAAAGTGCTTTCGATTAACGAATGCACTTTCATTCCATTAATGTCCAAATCATATGTGATGCGAACATGCTGCTAACAAATGTAGTTGCTCGGTGGCCTGGGTCAACCCATGACGCCTTCATTTGGCGTAACAGCAGTGTTGGCCGCAGACTTGAGGCCGGAGCTGTGCGTGATGGCTGGCTTTTAGGTAAGAATGATTAATGTAAAACTCCTAAATAAATAATAATGTATATATGCTGCGTTATATGAGCTATTTATCAACCCTACAGGTGACAGTGGATATCCCCTCAAGCGGTGGCTGCTCACCCCATTCCACAACCCGCAGAGCGCAGAGGAGAGACAATATAATACTCTCCACAGCCAGGCACGAGCTGTGGTAGAGCGCACCATAGGGCTGCTAAAGGGCAGATGGCGCTGCCTCGATGCCACAGGAGGCAAACTGTGTTACAAGCCTGACAAGGTGTGCCAAATTGTGAGGGCGTGTGCTGTGCTTCACAATTTGGCACTGCTGAACAATGTCCCATTACCCCTGAGGCTGCTTGTGCCCAAGACGAGCCCGACCCCCTTCCCCAGGCATGGGCGAGAAACCCTGGTGGACTGCAACAGCGTCTGGATGTGATGCGTCACTTGTAAAACAGACAAAACAAGGTATGGAAACAACTTATTTATTGGCCAAATCTTTTAAAGAAGTGCTTATTTCAGCCAGCACATGAAGAATTTGTCCCAGCTGTCTTGCAACCTCGTGTATTGCAGCAATTGTGTCCCTCTGCATCTGCAGGACTGCATCCGTGAGGACACGGCCGCTGCTGGAGGGCTGCGCAGGAGGTGCCGTGGAGACACCGGGGCTCGGCGCCGGAGGTGCCGTGGAGACGCCGGGGCTCGGCTCAGGAGGTGCCGTGGAGACGCCGGGGCTCGGCGCCGGAGGTGCCGTGGAGACGCCGGGGCTCGAGACACGAGGTTCCTCGGTACACTGTCCCCCTACCCCGCTGGAACCAGCATCTATAACAAATGATTTTGTTAATAAAGTTATGATTTGTTTTTCTAAATAAAGTTATGATTTGTTTTTCTACATGGACTTATTGTTTTCTTTACATCGGCTACCAGCAGATATCACACATGCATTTGGTTTACTCTAATTTCAAACACGGGTATATAAATGTGGTTACCTGGTTCATCCGGTGCACACTTAACATCGGTGATCCCCATCTGCCTCCGTCACCACTCTACTCAGCAGGGATTCGCCGATTATACCGGCCAGCCTTTCATCCATAGGGGTGAGCTCCGGTGCCCCCGTTCCCCCTCCCGTGGCACACACTCTGCCTGTGTGAGGCCAGGCGTTTTTGGCGTCCACCTTAATGTCGGACCACTTCTTTTTAATTTCAGCGACAGTGCGACCCTGTGCTGATGCAGAGTTCACAGCATCTGCCACATGCTGCCACTCTCTTGCCTTTTTGGCATTCGTTACGCCAATACTATGGCCACCAAACAAAATGTTTTGCCTCGTCTCTACTTCTCCGACAAGGATTTCAACTTCAGAGTTATTAAAGTTTCTTTTCTTGCCTTTTTTTTCTGTCTTTGCCATGTTCGTTTTTGCCGGAAATCGGTTTGATGAATATTCATTATGGGCGTATCAATGTCTGGGCAATTATGGGTGTGATGGGAAGCCCGCAAAAGCTGCACCGCATTTCTAGTTAATTGGGATTTATAAAGGGAAACCGGCGTAGGAAGTGCCGTACGCACTTCCCTCGCCGGTACGCAATGTTTTGTGAATCGGAAAATGGCGGAAAATGTATGTACCTATTTTTGTGCTTTGTACTACGTAAGCAACCTTCCTACGTCAATCCTACGCACTGCGTTATAAATGAGGCCCCTGGGGCCACCCTGTCAGAGAGCAGACGTGCGTCCCTTCTCAGGGCGGTGCACAGGCTGCGACAGGGGGCAACAGTGACAGCTTTAACTGTCATGCAGACTCTGGTCTCATGGCGGCTGCTCACGTTGTGGTCCCGCTGGGGTTACTACATATGCGCCGCCTGCAGAGGTGGTCTCCAGCCTGCGTTTGGACCCCAAGAGGCAAACGACGGCTGGTGACCATCCCCCCCTCAGTGGAGGGCAACCTCCGGTTTTGGGGGTCTCCGGACCACCTCCGGAGGGGGTCTCCACTGGGACGGGTGACCTCCTACATCACAGTGTTCACGGACGCGTCCAGAACAGGATGGGGAGGGACCTGCCTGAAGAGGGCTATAGGTGGGCGCTGGGCTCTGACAGAGTCTCGACACAGCAACCTCCTAGAGCTACGGGCAGTAGTGTTAGTCCTCCGGCATTTCATGCCCCTAATTCAGGGGAGACATGTACTGGTCAGGAGCGACAACAGCACCACAGTGGCTTATATCAACAGGCAGGGCGGAGTCCGCTCCGCCTCCTTGTTGACCACAGCGGAGGAGCTGTGGTTATGGGCCTCAGAGGTGGTGTTATCTCTGAGAGCCCTCATGTCGAGGGGCGGCCCCCTGCCAGGCGAGTGGGTGCTTCACCCGGAGGTGGTGAAGCAGATCTGGGCCCAGTTCGGGAGAGCGGAAGTGGACCTGTTCGCCAGCCGGCGCAACAGCCACTGTGCCCTGTGGTTCTCCATGGCCCTGAGCGACGACCCGCCTTTGGGGGTGGACGCGTTTGCACACGAGCCATGGCCAAGGAAGCTGCTATACGCCTTTCCACCGCTGCGTCTCATTCTCCCTCTCCTGGGGAGAGTGAGGCGAGAACGTCTGGCAATCATTCTGGTGGCACCGGATCGCGTCGGGGCTCCGTGGTACTCAGAAATGACACAGATGAAGGTGGGCCAGCCCTGGGCGATCCCCCAGTTCTGGGGGGCGATGTCTCAAGAGGCAGGTGCAATCGGGGCGTTACCCACTCTGGGCCGTCCTCTTCAGGCTTGGCTCCTGAGAGGGACAGGCTGAGACAGGGTGGATTGTCTGACAGCGTTATTCAGTCTATCCAGGCAGCTAGAGCAGAATCCACCACAGCCTGTTACAGGCCAAAGTGGCTGAGATTGAGCATTGGTGTGAGGAGCGGGGAATAGAGCCCCTATCTTGTGAGTTGGGCTCTATTTTATCCTTCTTACAGTTATTGGTGGACAGAGGGCTTGCTCATTCCACAGTGAAAGTGTATGCAGCAGCCATCTCGTCCTGTCATGAGGGATTCAACGGCAGGTCAGCCTTTAATCAACCACTGATGTCGCGGTTTTTACAGGGGGTCAGGAGGCTGCGCCCGGTAGTGCACGCCTCCGCCCCACAGTGGGACCTGCCCCTAGTGCTCGAGGCTCTGGCCTCGGGACCATTTGAGCCTCTGGAGCTCTCCTCTCTGAAAGCATTGTCGTGAAAAACAGCTTTGCTTCTTGCCTTAACGTCAGCCAAAAGAGTGTCCGAGTTAACTGCTCTGTCGGTGCACCCGAGTTGTTTACTAATTCGGGGTGACCAGAGCGGCGCAACACTTAGACCGAACCCCTCCTTTGTGCCTAAAAACCTAAGGAGTGCGTTCAGGTCGGGGGCTATTCAGTTAGGGGGTTTTAGTCTCCCCCCCATGGTGGGGCCAGGGAGGCTAAACTGCACCTCCTTTGCCCGGTGCGTGCGCTAGCATGTTATGTGGAGCTCATGGCTGCCCTTAGACGCACCGAACAGCTGTTCGTGTGCTTCGGGGGCTGGGTGATCGGGAAAGCTCTGTCCATCACCTGGCAGGCTGGCTCTGCGAGTGCATTGCACATGCCTACGGACAGGCAGGGAGAGCCTGCCCCACGGGGATTTGTGCGCACTCCACACGGGCTGTAGCTGTGTCAACAGCCTTATTCAACGGTGTGAGTGTGGAGGATTTATGCACAGCGGCGTCTTGGTCGAAGCCAGGCCCCTTTTTATCTCTTGGACTTGTCTGGCTCTTTTCTTTCTCCTCGTCTGTGCTTGCTGGGGCAACACAGGATTTGTAGGGGGGGGGGGGGGGGGGGGGGCGGTTGTGGGTCAGTTGGCATCTGACCCCCTCCCCGGACGTGATGCGCCTTCGCCTGTCCTGGGCCCTCTGAGGGTCCCGGGATAGGAAAGGGACGCGCTGGCCCGTTACGCTACGGGGGGGCTACCCCCCCCCCCCACATTTTTTGTCCTCTCACACTCTGCACGGGGTCAGTGCTTGAGTGTGAGGCATGGGCGCTGGCGCTCTCCCTGTTATCCTTAGGGATTCAGGAAGGCAGGTGCGTAGTAAGCCCATACGGGGCCGAGGGGGCTCTCCCCATCCGTCTATGGGCGGGGGGGGGGGGGGGTCCCCCGGCACTGTTTTTTGAGCACACTTTCTGCGAGGTAGGCGCAGCAGGGTGTGCTCTGTCAGCCGCAGCCCAGATTTCTCCTCGATCACAACCGGGTTAAAGGAGAATGTGGGGCAGCAGCTGCTGACCAGAAAAGCCGGTCAGGGGCAGTAGGGTGGAATGGTGTTGGACGACAATGCGCGTATACATCAGGGCTCCACTCACTGTACCCATAGAGTCCAGTAGAGGGCTCCGCCTGTGAGAGATATAACGGGGGGTTACGTATTGTAACCCTAGTTATATAAGCACAGGTGGAGCCCTCTACTCAGGGCACTGTCTGTCCTATTCCGCTCGCTGAAGAGAGGTATAGGATAATAGTCAGGAGGCGAGGCCTCCTTTTATACGGTGTAATGCGCGTGCATTCAGGTAGGCCCGCCCCAGGCCGGCTACGTCTATGGAAGTCTCAGTGGGAGAATGCACGCAGGATAAGGTAGTACCCATAGGGTCCAGTAGAGGGCTTCGCCTGTGCTTATATAACTAGGGTTACAATACGTAACCCCCCGTTTTGTACCATTTGCCAGAGTTCTTTCTCAATCGCACACGGAGGAGAGTACGATTTAAAGAAACACATTGCTTGTGAAAATCATAAGAAAAGCCTAGCTCTAAAGGAAAAATGTCGGTCGATGGACTCATTTATGTTAAAACCGAAGGAGGATTGCCAAACGGACAATGTAACAGCAGCTGAGTTGACACATGTGTACCACAATGTACCTTGTGTTCTTATTATACATCATGTTACGACCCGCCCTCTACTCAGTGGTAGTGGCTCGTGGGGAGACCCGCAACATAAAATAAAAACACACCAAACACGCAGCACTTAACGGCGATTATTTATTTTAAAGCACAGCCGTTACTCACATGGTCCAACCGGCAAATGACCAAGGTGTGGAGGACTGGCAAAACAAACAAAAAGAAGAAGGGGGCCTGGACCAGCCACACCACGGGCCGTAGGACCCAGAGCTTCCTTCCCCTACCCAGAGATCTAACAAAACCCTACGGGTAAAATAAAGCCGCGAAAACCTATACTACCAGATCCTCCAGAGTACACATATTGCCACATTAACACAAGGGATCTACAGATCCAAACAGCAGAGAGAGATTGTCCTCGGACGGAGTCTTCCGGCATAAGGATCAGGAGACACCGCTCTTCTCCTCCAGCTTCTCCTTTTAAGTCCCCAGCTGACTGGAATTAGGACACCTGGGGGAGGCGGAGCCAGGGGCGGACCAGGTGTACCTGCGCAGCAGAGACAGAGAAGACAACAGAAAAGGGAGCATGTAACACTCCCACCATGAGTTAGTGATTTTTTTAAAAAAACCAAACCAATCACAACAATCAACTCAGTTGACAGACACGCTCACAACTATGCTTGTCTTCACCACATCAATCCTTGCCTTGTGTCACGCACCCACTGCAAAAAAAACAAAACAAAGAAAAACAAAACACAAGGGGGGCAGTGATTGTTAAGAACAGTGACACCTCAAAGTGGTTTAAAGCCAGAACCATAGCCAGTGCCTCCTTCTCGACGGTGGAACCAATGGTGGAACACATCCGCTGGTGGGGATCGAATCTCTTGGGGCGGTACGACACAGGGCGCTCCACTTCACGATCAGCTCCAATACATCTGCACGCTGCGCATCAGGCAAGTGTGCTAGATGAGACTCAATATTTACCAAAGTCTCCGCAGCGATCGGGGCCTCCGAGGTGACAGGGGTGTCACTTTCAGCACTGGACAGCGCCACCACACAGGCAGCGACGGGGTTATGAACAGCCCCGGGGCTTATCGTACCTGTTTTCCCACCCTCACGCCACGAAGGAGGGTCCCTGATTGATCTGCCTAATTCCGTAGCCGTACAACTGTCGCGGGTGATTGCAACCGCATTCACCCCTGGCTTAACGAGCACTCTGCCACCGGCTAAATCATTCCCCAAGACCAAATCTACCCCTTCAATGGGAAGACATGGCCGAACCCCGACAGCTACCGGACCGGTGACCAGATCTGACTCAAGGTGAATATTATGCAATGGCGAACCCACACACTGCATACCAAACCCCCTCACAAGAACACCCGAACCCACAGCAGACTCCTCAGACAGGGGCAACACACCCCTCACCATAAAGGATTGTGACGCTGCTGTATCCCTCAAAATGGTCACTGGAACCCTGTTGTTCTTCCCCGGTAAAGACACCATTCCTTTCATGAGAAACGGAGCAAAGACTTCCAGTTCTGACTTGAGAGACCCTGTCTTTGAAGTACTCACCAAGGCGACCGTCTTTACAGGCTTCTCCTCATCCCGTAAAGCATAACAATTCGCAACCACATTACCTCTTTTCTTGCAGAAATAACACACTGGGCTATCCCTAGGTCCCCAATTCACCTCTCCCGGTTTTTCCTCAACA